TGAGTCTTGTTCAAAACTTTGCCAAGTGTCTTATTCTCAAAGCCCGTATCTTTATCTCTAAGCTACAGCTCCAGCCTTTACACACCCCTTACTAACCTCCACATCACCACAATCTTTTTCCTGTTAAATCTAAATCTTAAAAAAAAATTGTACATGATACTCAACATCATAAATGATAAATTTCAACAGCAGCCACAAAAGCAGGGCCACTATGAAGTCTACTTGTCTGCAGATCAGAACCAAGATGGCAACGCAGAATCTTGAGTCCTCCTTGGAAATGCCACCCTCTGCAGTCAATTCGTGTTCCTGGGTTCTGGATTAGTACAGCCACAGCCTCTAAAATTTACTTACAACTCCAAAAATCAATACTCATGGTACTTTCAAGGTCATTTTTGGACACCAGCCTAGTGGTGAAAATTTTCATCAGAAATTGGGCATATTTCCAGCTGAGGCTGAACAAGCGGTGCTTATCTAGGCTCCCACACTATAAACAAGGGTCCTTTCCAAGATCTATTTAGTAGGTGGTTTATACTGTTCAAAGTGGCCCCAAAACAAGTGCTGAAGTGCCATCTAGAGCTGTTCAAAGGCTGTCACATGCCTTGCACAGAAAATACATGTAATAAATTTAATATATTACGCATTCGTTATAATCCAGTTGGCCATGATCCAATATTGGAGAATCAATTATATATATTTAATAAGGCAAACAGAAACACACATACAACAAGGTTATGTATCGATCGGTTGGTGAAAATACAACCAGAGGCTTGCAGGAACTAAACCTTGTTTTTTCGCACTAAGGGCAACGATTCAGTATTCACTAACAGCGCTTACAGCAACTTTATAGATTACAACTATCACAACTGCTGAAACATACACTAACTCTATATGCAACAAGACATTTGACTTAACAACAGATCATTCTCTCCAAACTCAGAAAGAATAGCTGAAGAGGAGGACAACCTCGGCAAGGACTGTTGATGGTGTTAGTTTACAGGTTTACACGCTAAAAAATAAGACTACTACAATGCACAAAGAAAATGCATATCATATCCCCAGGACAAAGATCTAGTGGTTGCTTCGTAGTGTGCCCATACCCCAGGGGGCACACAAGATGGTTCCATGTACAGGGGATTAAAATCAGGGCCTTCACACTGAGCTACATCCCCAGCCCTTTCTTATTTTGGGACAGGGTGTCACTAAGTGGCTAAACTACCCAGGCTGGGCTTGAATTTGCAATCCTCCTACTTCAGCCTTCCAGACTGCTGGGAGTACAGGTGTACACCAACATGTTTGGCCATTTTTGTTATTTTAACATCTTTAAACTATAGTTACCAGTGATCCCTCACCTACCTTGGGAGTTACATTCCAGAGACCCCAAAAGGTGAAAATCCACGAAGTAGCAGCATTATATTTAATTATTTATATATATTTCAAGGCTCTATAAACCCTTCCCACACTCCTACTCCCACTCTATGAACCTTTCCCACACTCTTATAAACACTTCATATGCTTTTAAACACTTTCTACACTCTTAAACCTATGTAACTTTAACATGCAAAATTCTATATGGGTACTTCCCAGTGAAGTAAGTATACTAGATACATTTTTTAAAAAAACCGAGAGAGAGTGAAGCTGCAGTAAGTGAACCGCAATATAACAAGGGATAATTGTGTATCTAAAAACCTGTTAGTAGTACAATAATGGGTACGTAATTTTTACTGGCAGTGCTGTTTCAATTCTGTTAAAGTATGTGGGAGAGCAACATGGTAAAGGTTCAAAGTCAACAGCTCAAAAAAACTCCACTCCAGATGGACCTGTCACGTCCTGCCGAGGGACAGAGCTCATGGGCTTTGTGGACATAGATGCAGGGGCAACATCTAAGAAAAGCTGGGTTCAACTCTTATTCTGCTCTCAACCAACTCTGACAGTCCTTACCCAGGGCACCCCTCAGGCACTAGTTTCTCCTATGAGTAATTAGTCAATCACATTGATTAGATCATCCTAGCCAGCTGCCTACCCTGCTCTAGAAAATTCTATGACTCAGAAAATACGCTATAATAGCCAGGCTTGGTGAAATCCCAGGTACTCAGGAGGCAAAGGATTAAAGTTCAAGGCCTGGCTGGGCCACTTAGCAAGACTCTAAGTTAAATTAAAATTAAATTGAAGGGCTGGAGGTGTAGGTCAATGGTAGAGCTCTTGCCTAGTATGTGTGGGGGCCCTGGGGTTTCATCTCCAGTACAAAAAAAAAAAAGATGCAGATAGCTAGCAAGTAGAACCACTGTTTGATGTTCCCTGGAACCTCAGGGTTAAAGGTGTGAACTGACAGAGCAACAAATTAACAGAAAACACCATCTTCCAGAAAGGTCCTACGAAATCTCCTAAAATATCCTGGACCGTTGACGCTGTATTATATATTTATGTGGCATCACATACACATTTAACTGTATGTGCTCAGCAAAAAAGATAGAAAGGAAAAAAACAGTGCCAGCAATCTGTCTGCCATGCCACCCAATGAGGATAAATAAATCAGTTCCCAGGGCAGCCTCCTTATCCAGGGTCTCTGGCTGAGTAGCACAGTGTGAGGCTGATGTTAACATATTATTCATTTTTTATCACCTAATCCCAAATCAATTACGTCATTTGATGCTCAAGGGAAGAAGGAAGAGTATGTTTCAACCCTAAAGGAAAAACTGGCTTCCACCTTTCCTTAAAGATGGAAAATCAGTTTCCAAAGAATGCCAACTTCCTATGGGCACTTCAGGGAAATTTCTGAACAACTCTATTCCGATTTTCACAGTACCCTCTAACTGCAGAACCAAACACACAGGTAAGACTCCTCTATAGTTACTCTGGGTCAAGGGTCCAAGCCTAACCTATCACCATGAAGTAGTGTCAAGTGAAACCTGTCCCCATATACTTTTATAGTACTTCATATTTATTGAAGTGCTTGCATATAAACTGTCATTTAGGGCCAAGAAAAGACGCCTGGACAAACACTGTGGACCCATTACAGGGGTTGAGTGCAGTAATGCAACGGGTAAGAGTTTCCGGTAAGACAATTTGGGTTCAAATCCCATGGATATTGTTCAGCTTTTCACACCTTTAATCAGTAAAATTAATACAGTGTATACACCTCAGTTTCCTCCCCATCCCAGAGGAAGCAGGGCGACAAGTTCACATCCCTACTCTGACTGACTAAGGCTAAACAGAACGTCTTCCAGTTTCATGCTTAAAAGTTCAAGCATACAATTCAACATCTTTTAAAGTGTCCAAAAATTCATTCCTTGAGGTACTCTGCTCCCTGTTCCTGCATACACGAAACTCCACTCTCAAAGGAAGACGCACAAAGTGTGAGGATACAGGGACATATAAGACAAGCTTTGAGAAGTCACGCAATAAATGAACCTAAATGAACACATTCGGCATAGCATTTCCCAAGGTAGGTTTGATGGAATCTTTGGGTATATTAGCACCGATCTAACATTCTTAACATACTTTTAGAAATACTGGTTTCCCTAAGTTCACGTGTAACAAATAATAACAAACAGTAACATAGTGTATGACAGGGCACAAGAAACTATTCTTTAAGATTCTGTAATCTTTCTTTTGCAGCCTGCCTTGTATTTATATATAGTCTGGTGTCAGAACTATTTCAGTCATTAGGGCTTTTTAAATTCTCTGATTACTTAAATCTGCCACAAGGACTTCCACAAGTGGCTTTTAAAGTCGCCTGGCAGAAAAAACAGCAGGACAGAAAAGTGGGGGAGGGGTCTTATGTTTTTGTTACAAAATTTATTTGTATGAGATTTCATCTTCTCCAAAATCAACTTTGCAAGAGTAGTAAATATCTAATGCCACACCACCATCTCCACTGTCATTATCCGTCTTCCTCACAACAGACAGCGAGAGAGGTAAAGTGAAGCTAGTCAGCTGTAAAGTATAAACCACAAAAATTAGAAATCTTTTTTTCTCTGAAAACCAAGAAAGCAACTATTCTCTCTCTCTCTCTCTCTCTCTCTCTCTCTCTCTCTCTCTCTCTCACACACACACACACACACACACACACACACACACACACGCAATTATCAGCATTTGGGCAATCCTGAAAATTTCCATAGAGGAAAATTTGCTAGGCTGCCCAGTAATGTGATTCTAAAAAATTTAAGTACTTGTTACATCTGGAGTCCTAAAAGTGTGTATGAATTTTGTACTATAACCTACAGCCAGAAAATCATTCTTCACAGGTACTTTTTAAAAATGAAATTTAAAACAAGCTGCTCAGTTTCCTCGATCACTGGGGTCTTTCCTACCGTACCTCTCTTATTCTGTACAAGCATCTCTAACACTTGCACCTGAAATGAACTCTTAAACCTCTGGAAGCTGAATTATGAGAACACAAGCTTAAAGACTTGTTTTAAAAACTACAATACCGTTTGGTGTTTATTCTGAGAGAGTACTAGACAAAAGGAGCCCGTTATGATGTAAAACAATCAGCTTGTGAATTGCATGCACACAAGCAGTGGTCACCAAAAGGAACGCTTTGAATAAAAGCTTCAAGTTTTGTGGTTTTGAGGGAAATGCACGGAGCCTAAGGAGTGTCTCCATCAACCAAGGCTATGGACCACAGATCACAGGAGTGCAGGGCAGGCACCCGCAGGAGGGCAGGGCCAAGATGCCAGGGTGGGCACCTCCACGCTTCACACTTTCCATTTTGAGGGGCCAGTCCCCAAGAACCCCTATGTGTCGCCCGCCGCCCCACCACTCCGAAGCGGGCACACCAAGCACGCTCACCTGCGTGGCAAGGGGCGCCCACCGGTCCCCAGCGTGCTTTGCGGCCACCTCCGTCCCTCCTCACCATCCGCCTCCAGCCACGAGCAACGACCGGGCGAAGGAAGATGGTGCCGCGGAGAAGCTCGCCCGTCACCTCCCCACGTCCCCACCGCGCCCCGGAGCTCGGGTCTCGGCGCGCGCTGCTTCCCAGGCCTTCCGCCCCTCACCTTCACGAAAGCAATCGGGGTGGTGGTACCTTCGATATCCAACAGGATTGCGGTGACCTCAGCGGGCACCGAGAGCCCGACCATCTCCCCGCCGGGTGAGCCCGGCTCTGCCCTCCCGGAGCCCCACAAGCACCCGGGCTGGCGACGGCGGCCGGGACCGCGTGGGCGGGACGGGGCGGAGCCCGCAGGGAGCAGGCGCCCATTGGCCGCTCGCGCCACGGA